TATTTTTATATATTTAAAATCTAGTACCCTTCTGGGTTTTATTTCTAAAATGTCTTGAATTTTGAGCAAAAGGCAGTGGGACAAAAATTTTTTGTAGTGTACCTTCATATTTCGTTATGAATTTGGTAGCGTTTTCTAACAACTTCTTTCCAAAGCAAAGATTATCCCAATTTAACTGAAATTCACGAAATACATTCACGAAGAGTCGAGTGTTTCAATGGTATAAAATAGAGGTTTGTAAGTTTCTTTTCCGAGTCACACGAGGCCGTTGAATATGGACGTTTTTGAAGGTGATTTTTTTACGTCCAAATCTAATTTCAGTTTTTCACGGATTTCTCGCAAAATAAAAAGTATTTTTACAAACCAACCCCACAGCATTTCTCACCTAACCATGGGTTACAAATGGTGAAAGTTTGAGCGATTTTGAATTTTTGAGCTTTGCCACCTAATGTTTGATTTTTAGGGACACTCGCTCTTAAATAAATAACAAAAATTTTGCAATGTTTTTAAAATCATGTTTTTTCAGAATATTTATGTATTTTTATATCTTATAGCATTAGGATAGCGTTAAATTTTAAAATATTTTTGAGTCTTAAATGTTTGTAAAGCGCTGTTGAACTAAAGGAATTAGCGCTATATAAAATATAATTTATTTATTATTATTAATATTTATACAGGCACATCTAGTTTAGCAAGGCTAGTTTAAATAGAGTCCTGATATAACATAACAGTAAACTTACATGGACTTGAAATTTAGATTAAGAACGACACATTCATTCCCTTCTTTAAACCATATTAAACGATCGTATTTTTATCTCATTCATGTTCTGTAGGATGGCATGACGGTCCTGCATCTGGCTGCGAGATACGGTCACGTGGATGTCTTGGAGGTGTTACGTGGCAAAGTCCCTTGGAACATGGCCAGTGTCAAGGTTGTAGGTCTTTCATAGTCACACAATCCATGCAGATAGGCTAAAATGTATCCATATACTTTTAGGTCATCTTCTATGGTCATTTGTTTTCATGCATAGAAAAATGCATAGATCGATGTCAACGAAGCATCGACAATCTCTTATTGCTCTAATTCTTTTTTATTATGTCTTCTTTCTCAGACTGGATTAACTGCGCTTCACGTGGCAGCACGCTTTGGTCAAATCGATGTGGTCCGAGAGATGCTGGTCAAATGCCCGGGGACTATCAAGAGCGAATCCCCTACCCTCTCGGACAGCGAAAAGTCTGGAAATACGGATGTAAGTACAACATCAAGTGGCCACAGTCTTGGTCCTTTGTCGTTTCTGCTTTCTCTAATAAGCTATTGTTGTTACTATTATTATATATATTGGATTTTTTTTCCTCTTCAGTATAGTTTTACTCCATTGCACTTGGCTGCTCAGTCTGGTCACGTGGGTGTTGTAAGAATACTGCTGAACTCTCCTGGTGTGCGGGTGGACTCGGCAACAGCCATACAGGTAAAATATCAGTAATGTTAAGAAAATGCGCAATACAAAATAATTAGACGTAATAGGTTCATTAGCAAGATTATCTTAAACAATGGCAACACGTAGATGCACAAAGGATCAATCTCTAGGAAACCCTACAAGACAGAAGCCAGAATCTTGCTACCAGATCGTAAGAGCGCGCGCATGCTCTATGTCAGGATCGCAGACTATAAAACCTATCTTTAACAATGACTACACCTAGATGCACAAATCAATCTTGGTGTCTCCAATGTCATGAAAATATAATAATTAATTTTTTAACTTTCATTCTAGGGATTGATTCCACTTCATTTAGCTGCAGAAAATGGACACTCTGAAGTCGTCAGCTTATTACTGAGCAAATCGACCATCCAGCTGCACGTAAAAGACAAAGCAGGCCGAACAGCCCTTCACTTAGCTGCTGCTAATGGCCACAGAGAGCTGGTGTCTCAGTTGATAGGACAAGGCGCAGATATCAACGCTCCAGACGAAGTAAGTATCATCAACTAGCTGTAAGTTTATCATCTCCGGCTGGTTTTCCTCCCTCCGTAAAAATCAACTACTATAAATTCCAATTCCATCTGGCGTACAAAGGTATTAAAACAAGAGCCTCTGATTTGGGAGATTGAGAATTTACAGTATTTACCCTGCAATCAACGTATAATATTTCTGTTTCTCTTTCATATGTTGACTGCACTAGATCTTGTACCTTTGAAATATTTTGTAGTGATATTCAACTATCAGGGATTTTGTTTCTCCACGGTGAAATTTCATAATGATAAATAAAAAAATAAAAGTAGATGAATGATGTACTTATGCATAGGAGATAGATATAAAGAGTATTTTTTGGACCCTAGCCTTTTTAAAAGTGGTTGTTTTTGTTTTGGTAGAACGCCTGTGCTCCTATCTACATGGCAGCCGATTCTGGAAGAGTTGAAGTTGTAAAATTATTGGTAGAATCTGGAGCTTCTCCCTGCGTTGAAAATAAGGTAAGACTGACTCTTGAAAGAAATAACTTCTTGATTAAAATGAGGTGGTCTGTATTGGGAAAACATTATTCCCAAGTCGAAAAGGTGTTCTTGTTATTCCCTTTTCAATGAATCGTGCTTTGTCATATCAGGGACGGTGGGGATACTTCGTAACAAAAAAGGGGGGAGGGTGAATTTATAAAGCGCTATTTCCAGGAGCTCAATGGCGCTTTACGAGATCAGTGGATGACTTTACGGGCTGCGTATTTAGGCTAGTAGCAGCCGTGCAGCTTACAATCATGATTGGTTTGTTAGTATGTTAGTATTATGCTTCCAGATTGGGATAGGCTCCACTTTCTCCTTCTTTTATGAAGGAATTTTTTCTAGATAACACTTTGTGGACTCACAAAGAAAGCCTTATTTCTTGAACCCACCGCTGCGTATATTTATTTAAACTTGTTGTTTCTTTCTTTTCTTTTCCAGGAAGGAAAGTTTCCTATCTGTTATGCCGCTGCTTCGGGACATTTGTCAGTCGTTAGCTATCTGTTGCAGCAAGAAATGAATACAAAACGTCTGATTGCGGACAGGAAGGTAGGTACCCCCCGATGGAATTAACACCTTTCTGAGTTATCATTTGTACAGTAGGCCTTGAGTGGGGTATGTATTGTAAAGGAACTGCTTGCAGCAAAGCCGTGTGAGTGAGAGAATTTCTGCGCATGCGTGCATTTGATTACTGCCATTTGCATTTAATTGCGAACCGCAGACATTTTCCGATTTTCGAGTTTGACAAAGTTCAATTCTAACGGCATAATCGTCTTTCTATGGAGCGTTTTTGACGATTCCACCGGAATAAAGAATGACCTGTCAAAAGAGAGCGAAATTAGTTTAATCAACGCCATTTGCGTTTGAGCGCGAACGAACCACGTTATTATAGACCTATCAAAAGTTGCATGTCAATAACCTGCTGTTCTTGTATCGTTTTAGTTTCTTTTCGACCTCATGGTATGCTCCATGGCTGTTGAGTACGAATCATTAGTGGACTTCATCTTACAAACCCCTGCACCAATATACTCAGCTGCAAAGTTGTCGCGACACTTCCGAACAGAATCGACGAGAGAGAAAGAACGAGGGCGAGATCTTATCGCCGTCAGCAAAGTGTGCTCCAACGTTGCGGTAGAGCTTCTCTCCTTGGCGTGCGCGGCCAACCCAGAACAGCTCCTTACGGCCGTAGATGATCGGGAGATCCCTTTCTTAGATTTTTTGATAGAAACCGAACAGAAAGACTGTGTATCGCATCCGACTGTCCAAGTATACCTTGGAGATGTTTGGCGTGGAGATTTCAAATGGGACGATTGGAAATATTTTTTATTATTTATTTTATGTCTATTTTGTCCGCCATTTTGGGCGTTTTTATGCCTGCCGTGGAAGGATCGTTTTCACAAAGTACCGATAATCAAATTCATTTGTCATTTGATTTCACATCTTTACCTTATCTTGTTGTTCTGTTTGACAACCGTGGTTCCTTGGAGCAGCCCAGTAGATGATCTAACCCCTCATTGGTACGAACTGCTATTATTAATCTGGCTGTCTGGATTATTATTATCCCAGCTCACTGATCCCCATGATCGAGCTGGACTGGGATGGATTCCATTAATTGTACTCTTTTTAAGTATGATTGGAATTTTTCTGCATTTGATTGCTAACGCCTTCTACAAAGACGAGCACAAAAACACACGCATCGACATGATCTACACTCGTAACCAGTTCCTTGCGATTGCAATGATGCTTTGTTTTGCACAACTTTTAGACTTCTTATCGTTCCATCACTTGTTTGGTCCATGGGGGGTCATCATCCGGGACCTGATGTACGACTTGGTTCGTTTCCTGGTCATCTTGTTAATATTCATACTTGGTTTCACAGCTCACTTGGCTGCCGTGTACCGACCAATGTACGAGAACGACAAGACGGCTAATAAAATAACACCCCCTCAATTCAGCTTTTTCGTCTGCTTCGAGCTTCTCTTCTTCAGTTTGTTTGGACTTACTGAAATGGAGAGTCTTCGACCAGAAGGAAATCATCACTCAGTCACATACATCCTGGCTAAAGCAACGTTCGGTATTTATAACGTTATTACAATCATCGTACTTGTAAACTTACTCATCGCTATGATGAGCGATACTTATCAGAGAATACAGAGGCAGTCGGACACTGAATGGAAGTTTGGCCGCGCAAAGCTCATTCGGAATATGAAACGGTCTACAACCACTCCGTCACCTCTAAACCTCATCACCAAACTCATGTCTTATATACGCATCCTGTATAGAACTAAATGTCGATGTTGTCGCTCGGACATCATCGATATTCTACGCACCGAAGACCAGGTTCCCGAAGGCCTCTCGATGAGCATTAACGCCTCATACACCAAAAACCGAGTCCATTCGTGGCCTTTAAATGGTGGCCCGAGTCACCGAGACAGCATAACTAGAATTTCCCGGATCGAAGAGGTCTTGGATTGGAAATTATTGGTTAAGAAATTTATAGCATTACGAGGCGGGAATACTGAGTTAGTCAAAGAAACCACCCGTCATTTGAGTCTAAAACAACCGACAGCAATCTTTAACATGGACGCTAGTGCACCGAAACATCGACGTCCAGCGTCTGTCTTAGGGCTCGGCCGACCAGCTGTGTCCAGCTTTGGGTCTACAATGTCGCTACATCGTGTTGTGAACGAGACGGTGCGAAAGCTAGATATCGTATCAAGCATGAAAGAACTATCGGATGCGGAATAAAGCCTGGAAAAGTAATGCTTTACGAACGCTACATATGGTATGGTATGGAACCATCAGATGTGGGTCCACCTGAGGTATTTGACCAACAGATGTGGGTCCTGCTGAGGAAGGGAACCAACAGATGTGGGTCCTGCTGAGGTATGGGACCAACAGATGTGGGTCTACCTGAGGTATGGAATCATCAGATGTGGGCCCACCTGAGTTATTTGACCAACAGATGTGGCTCCTGCTGAGGTATGGGACCAACAAATGTGGTTCCACCTGAGGTATGGGACCATCAATTGTGGGTCCACCTGAGAAAGGGGACCAACAGATGTGGGTCCACCCTTAAATAAGTGACCAATTCAGAAAAAATAAAAAGGAAAGATACTGAAGTTATATAAGTTTTCTTTTCGATGTATTCAAATAAAGATTTATTTTAATTTTTCAAGCGATTAGTTAAATGTGTCTATACGTATGTTGCTAAAGTGAAGAAAGAATGGCATTACATGATGAATGGAAAAACGTGTGCATCTATTTATAATTTAAATCGATGAGTTCGAAATCAATAAAATAATTTATTTAAAGATACACTGACAGTGAATATTACTCTAGCAGCATCATGACTGCCAGGGAAGGAGGATATCACTCCCAATAACAACCCCTTCCAGTACAATATAAACTTACCAATAAGGAGAAACCCTTGGATACGCCCTTCTAAGTTTCAAAATTCAATGACCATTTGCGTTAAGGTTGGGCTCCAAAGCGAAGAAGCTGATTTAGTTTCGTCTAATATGCTTTCCCAGTTAATACCACGGGTCATTTAACAGACAATCATGTATTGTTTTTCAACGCTTAAGAAGGATTCGACACACATTCTTTCCAAGGGAATGGCACGTGTTCTGCTTAATTTGGAAAACATCCCTAAATCAAATTCAGGCACTCTTTCTCTCTTTAAATGATAAAATTAAAGCACCAATTCATAACGATAGGTGGATAAACTGGAGGAAATTGGTTAAATCTTCTTATCAATCATAGTGCGAGCCAATATTATTTGACCAATGGGAAAGGGCTTATAAATAAAGATTTAAAGTACTATAATACTACGATATCTTTTTAATAGCAGCTTATCATAAGTAACAGATACTTATCAACACTACCGTACTAGAGTGATTTTACTTCGCCCGTGAAAGAATAGTGGCAACGTAATGCATATTAGTAGACTCTAATTCCATTGTTTCCTTTAGTTTTACTTTGACTGTTAGTCACTAATTCACCTTTTCGGCGCTAGCCGTCACGTGGTATAAATCGTGTTGGATTGTGTTACGGTCACCAAGAAGTTCGGACATTGTTCTCGGATTTCCGTACAAATGTACTTATATTAAATGAACTATTTACTTGGTTTGTTTAGTTAGTTCTCTAAATACAAGTAAAAAAATCATTTTTCTAACTTGATTGAAGCTTTTTTGTTGCTGTTGAGAGAGCTAACTAAAGAAATCTACCTAAATTTTCTCTTTAAACTCGGCGAATTTGTATGGAAATCCGAGAACGATGAACATTTTGGTAACCGTAACACAATCCAACGAAGTGTTTACGACGTGACGGCTATCGCCGAAAAGGTGAATTAAACAACTTTGTTTCACGGGCCAAATAAAATCACTCTAATTTCTGAATGTTTAACAATATAAAACTAAAATATACCAACGAAATTGAGGTGTATGATTGTTTATGCTTACAATATTACAGGTATTTTGTCTTATTTACAACTGTTTGCTATACATGGGCACACGCTAAGATAGCCGTGTCCACACTTACAACTACCCATGATCCTTTGCTTGTCAAAACAAGTGCAGAAAAGTTAAGACAGACCAATGAAGTCAAAGAACCTCACTAAACATTAGTTAGTGCTTCGAATAACCATCATATCTTAAATCTGGCCAGGAATTATAAGCTCAGATGCTCACTGTCAACAGGTTTCAAACTGTGTGCAGGATCGTACTACTAGTATTTAGTAAGTTGATTTAAAAAATTATAGATTAGAAAGTTGCAAAAATATACTATTCCTAGTCAGTAAACCTGGGGCTTGTCTTAATATTAACTCATTATAATGATAAGAATGAGCGAGAAATACAGACCACATACTACTGACTGGTGTAGTCTCTCTAGGTGCAATGTCATTTGTTTTATATTTTATTTTATTTTATTTATTTTTCAATATTATTAAATGAAGCAATGTCATTGGTTAAAACAAAACTGTACACCACAATATACCATTGTTACGACATCCTGCGCCGTAACCGTGCCATACCGTGTCATAACCAATAACTGAACATAATAGACACTGTAACTATGTTTTACTTTGGACTATTTTGCACGTTCTTATTATAACCGTAAACAATGATGGGAAATTATAGACGCTGTAACTATGTTTAAATCTGGACTATTGCACATTCTTTTTAACCTGAAACAATGATGTGACGTTATAGAAGCTCTGACTATGTTGCAATGTGATTAGATACAAATTTTGAACAAAGTACAGTGTCCTATAATAGCGCATAATGGACGTCGTAACTTTGTCGCTTAATTCGGTATAATATACGCTGTAACCGTACAAAGTAAGAAATCCAAATTGCATTTTTTTTTACCCTTCATGTTTCCTTTACACTTAACAAAATAATATCAATACTATTGATAATAATACGTATGTTTATACTACAAAATATACCTTCAGACTCGTTAAGGGAATAAACAAGGTCTGATTTCCTGGGTAATTAGACTTTTGATAGACTTGTGCATCAAAGACGTAATAGCACTGGTATACATTAAGTATCTATCAATATAGGAAACTATTATTTCTTTAGTTCGGCATCGGGAGGTAGTGATCGTAAACGTCGTTGAACAGCTCTGATGTTAAAATGTGTTGCGCGTTACAAATTGTTCCTCTGATGAAATAGTTGTGTCGCGCCGTATAACAAATTGTTCCTCGGATGTAAAAGTTGTTTCGCGCGGTACGAATTGTTCCTCTGATGAAAAAGTTGTGTCGCGCGGTACGACGAATTGTTGCTCACATCTTTAACGCGTTAACAACGTTAATTCTCTGCAATGCTTGTCCAGTAGCTTGAGCAGCAGACGGACCATTAGAATTTTTGGCTCTACCTTTCTTACTGAGCGTAGGGTCTACAGTTTTTTCACCCGTAATGTCGAGGTATTTATCAATCATTGAATTCCAGTCGACGACGCTCTGAATGCGCAGTTCTGAGTTCTCAGTTACTCCTGAGTTTTCCAGCTTCAGCTGCAGCAAACCGTTGGGACTTCTGTGGGATTTTCGGTTGCGGTCTTTCTTTTGTTTGGCTTTTCGTTGCTCTTCCTCTGCATGCATCATCCCGATGATATTAGAACGCATGCAGTTACAGCGTACCTTGAAGAGGATGCGAATAAGATTGACCATGTAGGTAAAGATGTTGATGGGAGACGGTTGGGAAACTTCAACCTCCATTGTCCTGATAAGCTTCGCTCTTCCAAACTTCCACTCGACATCAGATCTTTCTTGGATGCGTTGGTAGGTGTCACTCATCATGGCGATCAACAGGTTGATCAGCACAATCATGCACAGCACATTGTACACGCCAAACACAGCCTTAGCGATACCAATAGTTGCTTCAGGGAAGTCCCCAGAGGTGTATTTGACATCCTTTTGTGACGTCAACCCAAACAAGGCAAAGAACAACAACTCTATAATAGCGACAATACCCGTATCAACGCTTTTGAGTGTGTATCCACTTTCATTTTCTTCCATAGGTTTGAAAACAGCGGCCAATTGTAGAGCGAAGCCAAAGACAAACAGCAGCATAATGACAAGGAATCGAAGTACATCGACCACGAGGTGGCCAATAATAACGCTCCACGGACCGAATAAATGATGAATGGAAAGAAATTGCAGGAGCTGTACCACGCACATCACCATACCAAAAGCTAAAACCTGATTCCTTGAAAAAATCAAGTTCTTTCTGTGTTCGCTTTCATACGCAAACGCGACCAAATGAATAATGACTCCAACAAAAGTCATGACAACCACGATAGAGGGAATCCAGCCAAGACCTCGGCGCTCTCTGGTCGACGTTATTTCCGATAGGAGAAGTCCTATCACCCAGACCAGAAGCATCCACTCAAAGACGTTAGGCAAAAGATTCTGGTACGAAAAGCCCCATGGCATGACTGTGGTCAAAATGAATAGCATCAGGAGATACAAGTGTGAAATGAGTCGACAGATGAACTTTATGATGGGAATATACTGGTATCGATTCTTGAATGGAAGGCTCAGATAGATCCAGATTGGTGGGAAAAATAAGGCAGCTACGAACAGCAGAAGGAATTTCCAATCTTCCAATTTCAGATCACCGTACCAGATATCAGTAACATATTGCTGGACGATAGCATGAGACACGCACTCTTTCTGGTCACAAGCGATCAAGAAGTCCAGGAAAGCAGTGTTCTGTCCGTCCAGGGCATTGAGGACTGACTCACTGTCATCAGCGCAAGATACTGTAATGAGGTTATTTGCCATTGTTTCACAGACCATGGTGGCTTCTCGGAGCACTGTTTGGTATTCCTTGTTCTTGCGCGACTCGTTGCTGAATGAGTGAGCGAGCAGCGAGGAGATGTGCACTGGAGCAGGTGCCGAAAGAACAAAGGCTTTCAATGGTTTTTGATCCTCTTTTCTCGCGCAGTTGACTAAATCCAACAAAAACTAAAACATGAAAAGCAATCGTCACTAGTCAAAGAGATAAGCGAAGAACAAATAACATCAACAAAACAACATCAGTGACCCTGGACCACCCACAAGGATCTAGGGGATGGCTTTTATTCGAAAATGTGATAAAGCGAGGACTTATACTTCCCAGTAAAGCACGTTATGTGAACAATAGGGGCGTAGCGAGGTCTCGGTCATAGTGGGGAGAGCAATATACCATTTCCCGCCACTACACGCATACGCGTTTCATCTTTAGAGTTACCCGCCATATTCACAGCTTCAGTAAAACTTTAGGGGGGGAGGTGGGGTCCTCTGCCTCCCTCCATCGCTACGCCACTAGTTCACACACGATACAATGGTATATTGAAGGTTCTTAAGATAATGTGTTTTAAATGGGAAAAATTATCATGGTTAAAGACAAAGGGTCTAAAATAAAATAACAGCAAGAGACTTACAGCTTTGTCGCGAATAAGTTGATCGTGATCCAGTTTTTGTCCCAGCAGAAAATTCAACACATCACTACATCGCTTGCTTGCTGCCAAACAAATGGCAGACTTGCCGGCCTAAGAAAATACCAGCATTTTACGTTAAGTAAATATAAACAAAACGCCATGCAATTAGGTACCACTCTACGCTTTATAAGCAAATGATAGCGATGTTTGAATACCTTATTCTGGGCCACCGTAGATGCACCGTATTCAGTTAAAAGCTTAGTGACGGCTAAGAATCCGCTTTGAGCTGACAAATGGAGAGGTGTGTTACCTTCCTAAGAATAAAACAATATCGACAAATTACAAGAAGTTTGTCATTTCAGGAAGAATCTATCTGGTAACGAAAATAGGCGGTCCGTATATGATGTCGTCATGTTACTACCACTATCGACATGCTTCTCGAATTTTCTTTCTTATTCGAATTTGCATTTCTTCAAGAGAATAGAAGCATCCATGAGAATAGTAAGACAGTTATAATGGGGTTCTTACATAGCGCATTTCACATTGTTTCAATGCGCTTTTACATTTTATAACCAGTGAAGGACTTTACGGCGGCATATTAAGGTGCTATCAGCAGCCGTTCAGCTTACAATCATGAGTGACAGAAGAACTTTATTTTTGTTTGTACCCATTATAACATTATTTTCTAATTTGATACATTATTTATGTTAAACAGATTGAAGAGTACCAACTTCCAAAAATAACTAGAAAGCTAAAAATGCTTGGAAGTCGGTATGAGTGATTTGTTAGTACTTTAATGCTATGCCCCCAAATTGGGATAGGCTGTTGAACCGGGAGACAATCCCCTACTCTTACACGAATAATTCAAGAGGTTCTTTTATGTCCCCCATTTACTGTAGGTTAGGAAGGGTTGGGAGACAGGGCCTACGGTTTTAAGTCCTTGTCCGAGAAGGCTTGAAGGTCTAACCATTTGCAGATGTAATTACAAAGGCAGCACCTTCTCCTCAGTTATTTTAAGACCCTGAGTTTTGGTCCGGCCGAGGCTTGAACCACGACCTCCCGCACAACAGACAGTTGGTGCTAATCAAGTAAACAATAAAAGCCGTGAGCAAGGGATTCTGGTAGATGACAGTATAATGCAAATGCCCATTACAAATAATTTTTTGCCCATTCGTACCTCGTCCTGTGAATTGATATCAGATCCCTGACCAATCAAAAGTGTAACAAGCTCCTTGTACCCATTCCCCGCGGCCATATGTAGTGGAGTCTGCCCCTCGGCATCCTTCATGTGAATCGGCGCTGTTGTCTTGCTGATCAACGTACTGACGACTTCAATGTGGCCCTCAAAAGCCGCGTAATGCAGAGGAGTGCGTTTCTGTTTGCGGAGGAAAGAGAATGGCGTAAAAAACTTGAATGTGCAATTTATTTTCGTTTTATTTATAATCAATGTTTTCATGCCACATGTTTTTCATGCCACGATTTTTCAAGGTTTTGGCTACCTTCAATCAAAACATTACTAAACACGCAGACTGTTGCAAATTTAATTGATACAAAAAGCCAAATACAAGAAAAGCATGCTAACAAGTCAGTGGGATTTAAGTCTCAGGTCAAATGTCGAACTTTGCATGAGCCGAACCTAATTGAAACAATGCAATGGATAACAAGGCGGTCATTAGGTTCGGCTCACGCGAAGTGACGATTGCTAGACCTTAGTCTAACTGAATATAAGATGCTCTATTGCGCACGGTATCCAAGCGTTTTAACCAAGTTATTGTTTAAAGCATTTAATATTCCTGACCAGTCAGTCATTATCTACTCATACCTTGCCCACAGTTTTCGCGTCAATCACCACACCAGGGTTGTTCATGAGCATGCGAATTAAAGCCGGGTCTCCATTTTGACTGGCGAGATGAAGTGGAGTGAATCCATGCTGAAATGGTAAACAAATGTATATGTTAACTTTGGTTCAAAAAAAATAAAGGCTTTACCACAAAGGTACAACAAGAAAAATGTTTTAGCTAAAAAAAAACGCGTTGATAAACTGATGATAACCGGCATGTTTGAACAAGAATGTCTAGCGGGTATTTTGGGAACACCATACTACATATATAATTGTGGGCAATGCAAACTATCGCTCCATAAATCACGCAAAAAGTCGTACGTACATCAATAGTTTCATCTTTTTCTAATGGAGGCTGCAAAATGTAAAAAAAAAAGAAAAGATGTTATGCAAAAGACAAAAGTTTTAAAATGTATGCTGGTATGAAAAAATGTGAGTATTATTACAACAACAAAAGACAATAAGGAAACTATACTACTATAGAATAAGGAAACGCCTTCAGGTTTATGGAAAGAAATTGTATCTGTTATGAGACAATGCTTCAAAAATGTACGCTGATTATGG